GATACCTGCCTGCTTTAAGGGCGGAAAAAAGGCATTTTGGGTCTTGCTGCCCAGTGCTGAGGTTGCTAAGCAATGAAGTCACTACAAGTAGCTAATGTCACGGCGACATCTAAACCCCATCATAGCATTAAACTCATCATTGTAATTAAATTCTCTCACGGCTTATGATACCATCTCCCTTACGTGATGTATCTTGTCCAGCCTAGTGGTAAACTAGTTAATGCAACAGAACACAGCCACCTCTAATTTCCATTGCCATTTAGTGCTCATATGCCACAATTTGTCACAAATCCGAAGGCACAGTACAGAAAATGCGCTGCAGAGAATGCCGTTAGTGAATGAACAGGTAAAAGCATGAAGAGCTAGCTCTGTTTTACTAAAACATACCTCCCCTCCTTCAACTGTTCCCCTAATGATTACCAACACTGGCATGACACAAGAGCTGCCTAAGACCAAACAGCTGCCAAAATAGAGGTGGTTTTGCACCACCATACACCATGCTTTGGGGACAAAGCAGAGCTGCTAGATTAGGGGTTGGAACTAGATTACCTTTATGGTTCCTTCCAACTTAAACCATTCTATGATTCTATGAACCTCCTACACAGCAGAGGTTATTCCGTGTGCTATGGACCCATAGTGTTAGGCAAGCCTAACTCCGAGACCAGAGAGTGCTCCTGATGTGTTGACACGAACCCTTGCAGCTGCATCTTAACTGGTGGGGATGGTTGTTCTGCAGACCACCTCCCCTGCAAGATGCCCAAGTCACCACTGAGACCACAACCACCGACTCCAGTGTAGCTGAAGCCGGTATTCGCCACCACGGCAGGCTGATGTGGGATGCAAAGTGGCCTCCATGCCACTGCCTCTTCTCTCAACCTTCTCCACTGTTGGTTGCTGCGGCTAACGCAGGGTAGGAAAGGTGTGGGAAGGAAGTTGAGGTGTTTAAGTTAGCTGTTACTACTTGGGAAGGATGGTGAAGAGAGGCAGCCCCTCCAAGATGTGATATTTGCCCCAAAGAGTCGCAGAAGAGGCTCTCCCTTTCCATCTCCTGCCCAATTCCTCCCCCTCCTGTGATGGGAGCAGTTGGCTCTCATTCCTCCTTTGGCAAAACAAACTTGGCTTTCCCCGCTGAGGAGCACGCTGTTTCTGCTTGGCTGTGCTCGCAACCCACAGATTCCTCCAGCCAGCCTTTACCAGCATACTTTAGCAACAAAAACAACCCCCAAAACCAAACACATTCCTTCTCCTTCTAGAACAGCTTCAGGCACAGTGAATGCCACGGCAGGCTCTGCACCTTTGACTGGACTCTCAGACCTCTTTGATTTCTTAGTTGTCTGAAGTTTTCTGCATCACTCTACAGAAGGGAACTCATCACCATCATATCAATTGCAGTGCATCATTAACACGGGCACTGCATCCATATTGCACTGCTAATATTCAGGGGACCCATCCACGTGGTATGTCAACAAACAGAATGACATCAACTTTTAGCTAGAAATAAGCTTTCTTACCCATATAACATTATTCGAACTGTCCCAGAAGCATAAAGTCTTAGGCTTTCTCAATCCTCTGGGCAACAAGTAATCTAAGAATTGTTCTTCACTAGCTGGACAGATTTATATCAGGTGTGATGAGGCCACTGTAAATCATTTTCTGTCTCTCCTTTTTCTATGTGTTGGGGAAAATCCACTTTTTAGGTAAGTTTGCTTGCCTAGAATTTTCCTGAGACAACTGGGATGAGCATATTCACTGACCTTCCTTGGTGCTACATCTTCATGGCCTGTGTGGCATTGGACACATGTGGTCTTAACTCCATGTTGGCCACCATTGCTGCCTTGCCTGGCATGCTCATTAACTCATCAGGATGTCCTACCTTAGTCGTTTTTATGATCCATTAAAACTGCCTCAGAAGTAAATGGTCAAGTTTCTTAACTACAAGCAACTTGCCTTGTTTCTGATATTATCTGGGTCACACTATATCTGAGAACCAGGCTTAGATTTTCATTATACCCACCCCAGATCTATCAGGGAATCCGCAAATAAAAGAATTCTTAATTCTTTTGTGATGGTGAATTTTCCCCTCGGTTGTTCCTGACTCTAAAGAGGAAGTTTAGAGGAGCAAATGAAATATCTTTAGATTTCGCGTCATTGGCATGCTGTGAAGCAGAATAAATTGGTTTACATTCTTCGCTGGAGATCCCTAGGGTTGTCTGGGGAAGGTGTTCCTCCCATGAAGCTCCAGCACACACATCACTAGGTGCACCACCTCACACAACAGCTCTGTGCACCTTCAGCTGCAACAATGAATTCATTAATCTGTCTGTAAATCAAAACTCTGATGGTCTGGCTCTTACCTTACAAGTACAAGAGCTGATAACCCACTAGCAGATGCGGCTGGTTTCTTCTGTGTTTCTGTACATAGACACAGTTTTGTTTTAAAGGAACTCATCTATTTGTAACCTACTAACTACCGCAAGGAATAAGAATCCAGGGTCTGGGCAACTTCACTGCAAATCATTAAGAAATTGCTTTTAGACTTATTCCAGCTTCACAGACATCTAAAGATAGAGCATACTTGCCTGCAGGAGATGGAGATGGGAATTGATTACCAGGAGGCTCAAGTTTCAGCTCTAAAACTGAGGTTTCCAGCAAGACTGTCTCCTTGCATGAAATCTATGCAGTAAAAACATCCTCCAGCTGATCGGTACCAGCTGCCGCTGAGGGGAAAAGAGGAAACGCTGCTCGCAGCAAAGTACCATAAGGCACAGATCTTGCCTCCATTTAGAAACACTTCTCAGTGCTGGGATTACTGGTTAAACAGCTGGTATGTTACCCTGGCTGGATGACCATGCCCTCAGACTCTTTTGGTACACTCACTCACTATAATTTACGATAAATCACAGCAGAAAAGAAGTATCTTTAAGATGAGCCTCCCCTAAGCTACCCATATCTTTTGCAAAGAGCGAGACAATACTTCGAGTTATGACAATGAGTAGAATGAACTTTTATTTTCATTCATCCTTCATTAATACCATACAATTAGATAGCAATATCTGGAAAAAAAAAATATCTTGAAATAATTTAAAACAGAAGGCACAGAAAACCAAACCCAACTATGCAGCTACAAGAGAAAGGGGAAAAATGACTCAGGAAGGGAATTAATTCAGAAAGGTTTTATCGCTACACATTCTGATCAAAAGTTACAGCACACAGAAACAAAACTGCACAGTTTAAGCTAACCCACGCTTTTTTTACATGTAAAAGAAAAAAAATATCTGATTTTTGCAGGGTTTTGAATGAAAAGTGTAATTTTAAAAATAAAAAACATTAAATCTAGTACATATGTCAAAATCTTCCCTAAAGGCTACACTAAGATGTACTTTACAAAAAAAATCTGTATGAAGAGCAAAGCATACAGTTAAACAGCATCTGGGGATGGGAGGAAACCTGTTCTCAAATCAGTGAGAGTACAAATACGTTTGGTGTTTGCTTCAGAAATGATTCTCAGTACAGTAATATACTGTAGAGAACATTCTTTTGTATTTTAATATTATGAAATTAAACCAATAGCATACATTAAGTACAGAGAGGAATAAAACCACTTCATTCATATGAGATGTCTACAGGGTTTTTTTTTTGCAAAAGAGTAACTTTATTTCTTTTTAAAACAAAGCTCCTGGAATTAATGACATGCGATAATATGCCCCGATATTATACCGGCTAAGTTTGAAAATAAAGTTCATGCTTCACAATTGAAATATGCTGTGATTCTCAAATACATTCTCTGGTAATTAATAATACAATACAGAGGTCATTCATAGAATCAGTTCAGGCTGGGAACCCGGTTTATAAATGAAACTCTTTTTCAAATATGCAGAACACTGACAACACACAGGGTTAGCTCCAGGTCAGCACATTTCCTTCTGCGCTCCACCCCTCTTTTCTTAAACAAATGGGTGCTTAGCCTGCAAATATCACGGAAAGGCAAAGTCTAGAAGTTACAGGTTGGTTTGTAAAAATACTAAATACAATCCAAGATAAATAGTATTACTCTTACTGACAACTTAATAGCAGGTGCTCTCTAAAGGAAAAAAAAAAATATCCTGAAATGCAAGAAAGATCGTTTCAGCATTTGATATCAAGGCATTTGCACATTTGTCAGGAGGTGACAGAATAAGAGTGAACTTTGCAGCTTACTTTGCAGTTGGACTTGAATTCAAAGAGCCTTCCCTCTAGCCTGCCAACCCATAAACCATAACGTATGGTTTCTTAATAGCTTGCTTTTTTCCTGGAAATAATTCTCTCATTTAGAAAGTACAAGTCAAAGTATTATTTCCACACATGAATAAAGACAGCTGACAACTACAATAGAAACGGTAAAAATGATCGTCGTAAAAATGTTCATCAAAATTCTCTGACATAGCAAAACATTCATTTGTAAAGTAAAGTCTAATACTGCAAGCCACTCACTCAAAGGCGACCTCGGGCACGTGTATTCTTGCCAGCATTGCAACAGTAATTACTTCCATATTTCTTGTCATTATAGAATACAAACTCTGTAATATATTAAAGTTTCCTAACAAAGAGTCCAATTATTGCACTTTATAAAAATTCCAGTAATATCAGGCTTTTATCCTAACTTCTCTATGAACACTGATGCCCTGCAAGAAAAATTTGGGGGACCAAGTAATTTCTGATGAGTAAGATGGATTACTTGAATCAGTCTGAAATATTGAATCAAAAATGGAAAGGCTTACGAAATGAAGAGACGTACCTTTGGAAACGCATTTTGATTCATAGCAGCAGATAAGATGTGTCATTGCGGTACTGACACACGTTCTCTTCGCAGGGAAGAACGAGCACATGGCTATTACGTTTATATATCACATATAACTCAAGAACTGTGCAGAGAAACCCAAAGAACCACTAAGTTGTTCTGCTGACTCTACAAACCTGACGGGGAAAGCTCAATGACAGCCATACCGGAGTGGGAGTTTCTCTGAGAGCTCGTGTGTATTTGCATTTGCGTCAGCAATGGATATAGCGAACAGAAATGGCTATTTCAGGATGGAAAGATATATAGAATAAGTCTGAGAGGCCCGTAAAAAAAGAAAATACAGCAGTTTTGGCCCTGTTTATAACCAGCTGTATCAATAGGGAAAAAAAAAAGATAGAGGAGGTTTTTTGTGCTAGCTGTCTAGAAAAAGACGCTGCTTCAACCGAAGTGATTCAAAATCTATATGAGGCTCCCAGGCCAGCAAATCACGGTTAAAGTCACTTTGTTCCTCTGCTCCTTCAGCATGGGAACGAGTGCAGAATGGCTCATTCCAACTGTGGATAGTCCGTTTACAGCAACAATCATATCACCACACCTAAAAAACACAAGAAGAAAAAAAAACAAATGATGGCTACTGCTCCGTAGTATCTAGTACACACCAACAAACAGTGCTTCATTGCTGGGGTGGTAGGTTTGCACCAGGTTGAAAGCGTAGCTAAAACACCCAAAGGGGTTCAATTTTAAGTTTGTTTTACTACTGAAACTCATCTGGAAATTCCCAAACCCCCAGATGGACTAGATGACCTTTAAAGGTCCCTTCCAACCCAAACTATTCTGTTTCTGTGATTTCAATTCTAATACAAAGATAGTTTGGTTATTAAGAGCTGACCTGTAGG